GTTGCTGCTCCTTCCGCTCTCCCACCCACCGTGTGGTGTGGGCGCCTCCTCCTCCATGCTGCCCTAGCCCTGCCCCGCCCTGCCCCTGCCAACCGCCCTGGGAAGCCCCAGGCAGAATCCCCGCCTTTAGTATTTCCTGATTGGTTCCTTGGGAGTCTGAAGGAGTGTGGCTTCGTCTTGAGTGGGGCAGTGGGGGTGGAAGGTTAGCAGTCTGGTTAGTGGGGGTGGGGGGTAAGGGGTGGGGATGGGGCGGCTCCAAGCCTTGCCAGGGGGCAAAGGGAGGAATTGACAGGGAACATGTCCTGCACCACAGCAAGTGGCTCCCACCACTTAGCGCCGCCTTCAGGTGTGCCACCCCATCCCCCCCCTCCCCAGGCTGCTTCCCTCTCCTTTACCCCCTTCTGCATTGCTCCTCTCTCCTCATACCTCATGGTCGCTCGCGCCATGCCCTCTCCTGACTTTCATGGCGCCATGCACGTCTGAGGGAGGTGAGGGTTGATCTGCTGAGCAGATCAATTGCTATTTGAGGGGACCCTCCCTGTCAACCCTGGAAGGGCTCAAGGTTTGGTCCCTGCATAGCTTCCTTTCCTGACTCCAGATGTGAGAATGCCATAGTGTAGCAGAGAAAGGAGTCTAGGCCCTGCTGGAGAGCACTGAGGGACTGTCCCCTGGGAGAATAGGGATGTGACGCCTCCTCACTTTTGTCTTTGGGGATTCAGGTGACGACAGGTCAGTGAGAGGGCTCATCAGATCAGCCGAGAGAAAAGCCTGTGCTTAATCGCGAATCAAGGTAAGGTCTGAGGGTACTGTCCGCCCAGAAAAGAAGGGACCCTAAAGAGTTTAGCTGCCCCTGTTCTCAGCCCTGTGACTTCACTTGACATCCCGCATGCATGGGGTGGGGAGGGATCTTGGACATGAGACCTTGGTCTGCAAGGGTCACATCAGGTAAACACTGGGGCAGCCCAGACCATGCCAGGATTGAAGATGACCACTCTGAGGGAAGATTGAAGGTACATTCTACCCCAGAAGAGATGTGGCCAAGCCCCTACTGGGAGTCCTGGGAAACGCCAGGCAGAGTAGTGAGGTCTTGGTCAGAAAGGGCAAGCCAAGGCAGCAGAGGGTGGGGTAGGCCCAGGCAGGACTAAAGATGAATTCTCAGAGGTAGGACTGATTGTACTTATCACCTTGGTACTTGTCCCTTTACTTTTGGAGGGCCTCTTTACTTTGTGTCAGGACCCTAGAAAATGGTCTGAGGAGAGGCCATGCCAGGTGTGAAGGAGTATGAGGGTGCCTTTCATTCCAGAACAGATACTGCCCAGCATCTTTTGTCAACTCTAGGAGATCCCGGGCAGGATAGTGGATTTGCCATCTCTTCATTTTTGTTTTAAAGGAGCCCTGGTGGCATAGTGGGTTAAGCCTTGGATTGCTAATTATGAGGTTGTCAGTTCAAACCTGCCAGCAGCTCCACAGGAGAAAGGTGAATCAGCCTGCTTCTAGAAAGATTTATAGTCTCGGAAAGCCTAGGGGTAGCTGTGAGTCAGAATCGACTTGATGGCAGTGAGTCTGGTTTTAGGGTTTTCATTTTTTGTCATGGAGTCTCAAGGAGGTGAAGACCTCACTCTAAGTAGATGATGTCAGGTGAGCAGAGGGAGGAGTCTGCTAGGACCAAGTTAAGAACCACTGGTGAGGACTGAAATTTTTATTCATCCCACAAAAGAAATGACCCCACAGGGTCCAACTGTCCACTGTTCTCAGACCTGGAACTGCCAGGGCAGGGTTGGCCAGATGCGGTGAGCCCTCCCTTCTGCTTTGACAGGATGGTTTGCATATCTCAGGGAGATGAGGGCCTTAGTCTTAGGGGGCAAAGTCAGTTCAGTAGAGAAACAAGGCCCCAGACCCTGTCAATAGTGAAGACTGGGGGAACCCCTCCCCCCAGAGTTCTAGAGCCTGAATCTGATCTAGGAGACCTGTGGGGGGAGGGGTGGCTAGGTGTGGCATCACTTCACTTTTGTCTCAAGAGGCTCAGGGAGGTGAAGGCCTTGATCTCAGTGGCCACAGCAGATCAGAGGGAAGAGTGCCAGGCTCTGGCAGCAGTCTGGGTAATGACCCTAAGTGAGGACTAAATGTAGCCCTCACCCAAGAAAAGAGGGAACTCCACAGAGTCAAACTTGGTCCTTGTTCTCAGTCCCGAGAGGGCCTGAATATGGACAGGTGGATGAGGTGAGGTTTCATTTCTGCCTTAGTAGGCAGGGAGTAGAGTATCTTAAGGAGGTAATTGCTTGGTTTGAGGAGGAAGGTAATAAGTCAACAGAGGGTGAGTCAGGCTCTGGCAGGAATAAAGGTAAATATTCTGAGGGAGGACTGAGGGTACTTGTCATCCCAAAACAGACAGGGCCCTGCCCTTGCTGCAGACCCTGGGAATGGGTGATAGAATGTGGCACCCATTGACTTTTGTTTGTTTCGTGTTCCAGGTAGGTCATGTCCTAGGTGTAAGGGAACAACATCAGGCCAGCAGACAGAAGATAACCAGAACCTATCAGGGGTTAAGATAAGGACCCTGAGGGAGGAATGAGGGTATCCCCTGACCTCAGACAAATGGAGTTCCACAGAAACTCTGCCTTTCCCTGCTTTCAGCCCTAGGAAGAGCCAGGCAAAGGTGACTAGATGCTGTACCCCCTTCTCTTAGTCACAAAGTGGTGGTGGTTGTCTCAGGTACATGAAGTTGTGGTCTTAGAGGTCAATATTAGGTCAGCTGAGGGGTTGGGCCCAGGCCCTGCCAGGAATGAAAATGAATACCCTGACAATACCCCTGGCCAAGAACAGACAAGGCCCTGTCCCTGCTGTCAGCACTTGGTAGAGGTGGCTGAATGTGACCTCCCTTTACTTTTATCTCAGAATTTCAGGAGAGTGCTTTGACCTGAGGTGGTGAGAGAAGGTCACAGAGGAAGAAGAAGATTCAGGCTCTGGAAGGAGTCTAGGTAAGAACTCTGGTGAGGATGAAACGTCCCCCCTCCAGAAAAGAACCCAAGAGAATCTGTGATCTCCTTTTCTCATTCTTGGTAGGACCCAGGGAGGGGTGACTGGATGTAGTGTCCTTCATGTCTACCTTGGATGGTGTAGGACAGGTGTGTCTGGGACATTAAACTTTGGTCTGAGAAAAGGAGCAGTCAGATCAGCAGGAGGGTGGCACAGGTTCTACCAGGAATCAAGATGAATACCCTGAAATAATAATTAGGGTATCCTCAATCACAGAAATATCAGTCCAATTTCTGCTGTCTGTCCTGGGAGACCCTGGGGCACAATGGCCAGATATGGTATGTCCTAAGCGTAGGAGTTACGAATCGGGCTGTGAACCGCAAGGTCAGCAGTTCGAAACTACCAGCTGTTCCGTGGGTGAAAGATGAGGCTTTCTGCTCCTATACAGATTTACAGCCTCGGAAACCTTGCACAGGGTTGGTATGAGTTGGAACTGACTCCACGGCACATAACAACAACAACAACCTTCCTTCTTGGAATCCTGGCGTGGCACTGTAGGATAAGCAATAGATCACTAGGTTGGTTTGAACAGCAAGGTTGGCAGTTCAAACCCACCAGTCATTCCTTGGAAACCCTATACAGGGCGTTAAGAGTCAGAAGTAACTCAATGGCACTTAACAAGAACAGCCTTCCTTCTTGGTTGTCTCAGAGGTGAGGGCCTTGCTCTGATGGGCTCTAACTCAGGTTAGCAGAGAAAAAGTTCCAGACCCTGCAAAGAATCAATGTGAGAAGCTAGAAGACCGTCCCATTTCAGGACAAATGGTACCCCACAGAGTTCAGCCAGCCACTGTAGTCTCCTCTGGAGCCCCTAAGCAGATGTGGCCAAATGTGGCACTCCCTTACTTCTCTACTTTGGTCTCAGAAGGGTGTTTTTGTTCTGAAAGTTTATTCTCAGGTCAGCATAAGGAAGGATCTAGGTCCATGTAGGGAGTAGGGGGATAGCTGAGGACCCAAATTGTGGGGACCTCACATAGTCTGGACCTATTCCTCTTGCCATTGCTGGGAGGTCCAGCAGTGCCCCTCAAGTCTTCTCACAGGGGCCCAAGGGAGCAGGAAGTGAAGGCATTAATCTGAGGCAATAAGAGTTCTTCTGATCAGCAGAGTGGAGGAGCCCCAGGCACTGTCCAGGGCAATGTAAGGATCCTGAATGTTTCCCAAGACCCCACACGCACTCCAGAATAGAGGGGATCGTCTACTAGTCCTACCAATCAGCCCTGGAAGCTTCAGGTTGTGCTGGCAGACTGCAAGCACAATCTCCCTTCTTCCTTTAGATTCTTAAAGAAAGCCTGACTCAGACTGTCACACAGGACATGTGAGGCTTTAGAGCACCCCTTTAAGAGAAAGAAGATCTGTAAGTCACCCTTTGTCAGAGACACTGTCTTAATTTTCTGATGCTGCTGTAACAGAAATACCACAAGTATTTTAAGAAGAGAAGTGTATCTTCTCACAGTTCAGGAAGCTCAGAGTCTACATTCGGGGCCCTGGCTCTAGAGGAAGGTTCTCTTTGTGGGCTCTGGGAGCATGTTCCATGGTGATTTTCATGTGACTTCACCTCACCCCAGTTTGTGCTTGCTTGTCGCCATGTCTTGTTGTTGTCAGGTGCCATCGAGTCGGAACCGACTCATAGCGACCCCATGTCTTTACGACTGTTTATATCACACAAAAGTGATTAGATTTATTGGTGCTGTGAGATAAAGCACTGGACTACAAGGTCGGCTTGAACCACAAGGTTGGTGGTTCAAAATCATTAGCTGCTCCTTGGAAACCCTATACAGAGTCGCTATGAGCCGAAACCAAGTGGACGGCACTTAACAAGAAGAACAACAATCAGTCCATACCAGCTGTGAAGGTTGAGTTTCTCAGCTAAGACTGCTTACATTGTCCCTCTTTCCCCTAGGCCTGTGGGTCTTCATTGCTCACCGTCCTGCCCACACACCTGTCTGCTGTTCCCACCAAGAGTCATCATGCCTCTCTCTCCAAAGCGTCAACGTTACAACCTTGAACATGACGTTCAGGCCCAAATTGATGCACAGCTTTCGTCAGCTGAGGAGGAGGAGTCCTCATCTTCCTCTTCCCCCTTAATGTTCTCCTTTCTGTCTTCCTTATCCTTTTCTTCCTTGCCTGTTCCACCTTCCCCCCCCTTATCTTCTTCATTCACGTATTCCGAGTCCTCCTCTCCCTCCATTTCTTCCTCTGTCTCCTCTTCATCTTGCTCCTTCCACTTCTCCTACCCCTCGACCTCCTCCGCCTCCTCTCCTTTGACCGTGGACACCCAGGATGAGGTAGAGGTGCCTGTGGCTGGAACAGCCAGTCCTCCTCAGAGTCCTCAGAGATCCTTCAGTGTCCCCTCATTGAACACTTTAGGTGAGGACTTGAGCACCTCAGAATGGGAAGCAGGTCCGAGCACCTTGCAGGCCTCAACAAGCACTGGGTACTTGGCCAGAAAGCCACTAGACGAGAAAGTGACCGATTTGGTGCAGTTCCTGCTGTACAAATATCAAATGAGACAGTCCCTCACAAAAGCAGAAATGCTTAACGTGATAACAGATAACAAGAGTCAGTTCCCTGTGATCTTCCAGAGGGCTTCTAACTGTATAAAGATAGTGTTTGGCATTGACATGAGAGAGGTGGATCCTACCATCCACTCCTATGCCTTTTTTAACTCGCTGGATCTTACCTATGATGCTATGCCGAGTGATGCCCAGAGAGTGCCCAAAAATGGCCTCTTGATACTTGTCCTGGGTTTCATCATCCTGAAGGGCAACTGTGTCACTGAGGAGGAGATGTGGTCATTCCTTAATTTGCTGAACCTTTATGATGGGAGGGAGCACTTCATCTATGGGGAGCCCAGGCAACTCCTCACCAGAGAGTGGGTGCAGGAAATGTACCTGGAGTATCGGCAGGTGCCCTATAGTGATCCTGCCTGCTATGAATTCCTATGGGGCCCAAGAGCCCATGCAGAAACCAGCAAGAAAGAGGTTCTAGAATTTTTGACCATGGTCGAAGGGAATGAGTCCAGTCCTGTCTCATCCGAGTATGAGGAGTCATTGAGAGATGAGGAAGAGAAAGCTCAAGTTAGAATTGCCCCTGCAGATAGTACCACTGCTATGTGTCAGTAGCCTCTCCTGCCCCCAAGTCAAGACTGAGGCAAAATTTTCACTCTTTTTTTGAAGGGGTTGTAATCAATGTTCTGAGTAGTGGAGGACCACGGAAAAGATTCTTTCTTCCCCATTGAATGGACTTAACACCCTTGCCAGAAATCAGTTGACCATAGACAGATGCTGTTTCTTCGAATACCAGGTTTAATTGAAATCTAAATTTCTGATTTATATTCATGAATGACTTTAGTCACATTTATGGCTGTTTATCCACCTTAAGAGTCAAATCTGTTTTCTCAATTTGCTACTGCTACCATAGCAAGAATACCAAAATGCTTTAAAGATCAGAAATGTATTCTTTCACAGTTTTGGAGGTTTGAAGTTTAATTCAGAACATTGACCCTTGGGGTGGGTCCTTCCTTGTAGGTATTCTTTGGTTTTCTATGGTGGTTGGATGGATCTTCAAATGCTCCTCCCCCTGCCCCCCCCTTGTGTGTGGTGTGTCTCTATCTTGTTCTCTTTTTATAAGATACTGCTAACCACAAGGTCAGTGGGTCCAACCCACTAGCCACTCCTTGGGTTAGTATAGCAACTATAGTTAGGATAGTTAGTATAGCAATGGAGTAGATAGCACTTAACTACAACATTCAGAATAAGTCACCATCAACATAAGAAAAGAAACTATTTCCAAACTGGGTCATGTTTATAGGAACAGGGATTAGGGCTTGAATGTAAATTTTTTCGGGGGACACGATTCGATTCAAGCCATAACAGTTACATTTCAAATCAAATTGGGAAACCTTCTATCTCATTTTATAATCTGGAAGCAAGATGATACAAAATTGGAATACGATTTCCTTCAAAATGTCAACGAACTCAACACTAAAAGAGGGGGGAAAAAGGAATGTAAAAAATTACGCATTTATCATTTGTAATCCGTTCTGTAAAACTAAACATACATACTTGGATTTGCTTGGCTTATTCACAACTGTTGAAGAAAATAGTAATAAATGCAAGCCCTTGTTTACTGGCTCATTTATTTTTCAGACATTATTTGGGCATCTGCTGTCTGGAAGACACTGTGTTAGTATTAGGGCCCCTGGTGGCACAAAGGGTTAATTAAGCATTGGGTTGCTAATGCCAAAGTCAGCAGTTCAGACCTACTCCCGTTAAAATTTCCAACCTTGGAAACCCCGTGGAGCAGTTCTAACTCTGCCCTGTAGGATTGCTCTGAGTTGGAATCTACTGGATAGTACTGGGTTTGGGTTTGCTGTTAGTAGTGGGGATCATAAGTACTATACACCCTTACCAATAGAAAAAAGAGCTCTGGTAGCGTAGTGGTTACGAATCAGGCTGCGAATCTCAAGGTCAGCAGTTGGAAATTACCAGCTATTGCGCAGGAGTAAGATGAGGCTTTCTGCTCCCGTAAAGATTTACAGCCTCGGAAACCCTATGCAGGGTTGCTATGAGTTAGAACTAACTCCAAGGCAGACCGCCTCCACCACCACCACTACCAATAGAAATTATAGGAGTTTTTAAAAAACGGTGATGTCTAGGCGCAGCAATCATAAAGAAGGTGGTAAGATGTCCTCTAAGGCCTGCAGACCAAATGAAAGAGTGAGATGATGGGGCTCCAGGTGAGGGTCGAACCATTGCTGTTAAATCCGTTCTGACTTACGGTGATGCTATGAGTTGCAGAGTAGAGCTGTGCTCCATAGGGCTTTAATGGCTGATGAGACTTCTCAGAATGAGACCCTTGGGCCTTTCTTCTGAGGTATTGGGCCTATCTTCCAAGGCACCTCTGGATGCACTCAAGTCTCTGTCCTTTCAGTTAGCAGCTGAGTATGTTAGCCACTTATTTGTACCACTATCTTCAGATGAGAGCACTGAAGTGTGAAGACCCAGAACCAAGGCAGTTTGTGACTTCAGGAAACGGATTCTTTCTGTGCAAGTTCGTTTAAAATTAAGCTGGCAGTGGTGGGGCCCAGTCTTGCAGAGACTGTCTTTGAATTTCGAGAGGCCTGGAATGGAAAAGGACTCAGCAATTACTTTGCATTCTGGGTAAACCAAACAGAAATCACCTCGTGGGGCAGTTATTGAAGTTGTCCTGTACTCTTGTTCCAGGGAAATTGAACAAGGTGCATGAACTAGGTGCTTTTGTGGAAGGATGTCCTGAGAAACAAAGGTGGTAGTCCTTGAAATGATGCCTAGAAACTGCTGGTTTGGCACACTTTCTGTGTATTTGTGAAACCAGAGCTACTCCATTTAAAGATCATTTTAATCATGTTCTCTTGAGTAATTCGGCCAAACTAAGCAAGGGTTGGTTTGTTGGGAGAAGTTTGAAATGAATGAGAATAGTGGTTTGGGAGGTTCCAGGCAGAATGATGGACTAGACAGATGCACTGTTTTGAACTCTCTTCGACAAAGATATGAGAGATCAAATAAAACCTACAGATGATAGTCCTGGCACCCTGAACTTCTGAAGAAAGCTTAGGTGGATGGAGTGCTTGGTGGCAAGAGAGGCTGAGCAGGGATGGCAAAAGAGACTCACTGGTGAATGGCTGGCCAGGCCTGGCTCTACCATCTTGTGTGCTGCTTTGAAAGCAGAGGAGGCCTGGAAGTGCAGATTCACGAAGGTGATGGAAAAGATCTGAATTTTTCTTTTTCCCCACACTCCCCTGGTGACCAGAGGTGTGGCCAGTTCTCACCCTCATTCATCACCCTGCTTTCCAGGAGTTCAGAGCCACGTGATTGGGAGTCATGCCAGCGTGAGTTGGGGGCCAGCTGAGCTACGTTGGTACCTGGATTCAGGTGGGATCTGCTTAGAGTTACCAGAGCAGCATTTAAGCAGTCACCATCCCACAGCTTCCCTGTGGTCCTAGCAGACACTGAAACATGCCTCCAGAGCCCCTATGAACTACTTCCCAATTGAGTGGACTGAAAATAGATAACACTGAGGCCAATAGGAATGTCATCTAGGGCCAGTCACTCTGCTGTCACATCCCCTCCACAACCACCCCGTGCGCTCCGTGAATTGTGGGAGTCCACCAGAGATTTCTCCCCTCCGGGGCTAATAACTGTACTGTTTGTTCTTACAAATAGGGCAACCCCATAATGCCCTGGAGACAACAGTGTTAGCTCACATGAAGAAACAAAAGAATGGCTCAAACAAATGACCAAGAGGCAGAGACAGAAAACATTTCTGAGGGGTAAAAAGGTAATAAAAGTAATTGAGAGGGTGGGAGTTGATGGAGGATAGGGTGGAGGTGCAGTGAAGATCTCCGTAAGCAATACCACAGAATACCAGGAGAAGTGGGTTCAGAGAAGAGCTCCGAAACTCTGAACCACATATCTAGGAATCTTTTTAAAGTTCCAAGGGTTACAGCTAGTGGAACTTGTAATGGAACTAAAAAAAAAATCTCGTATTTTAGAATCTCCTGGGCCAGAGCTGACAATTTGGCGAGACCAAATGGCAAGACCAAGCAGACCCACCACAGATCAACGCCTGTGGACCTCAGAGCAAAGGTGGACAATATTTGTGTTTGGTTTAGTTTTGTTCTGTTTTGTTTTTTTGTTTTTTAACTGTTCATTGGCCTCTAGCTGTCTGCGCACCTCCATTCCGGTGACTAGAGGGGGTGCCTGAGTGAGTGGACACTCCCCACCCCTTACCACTGGAGGGTCCTACCATGCATGCGCACAGATCCTTTCAGCATTTCAAGAGACAGTCACCACTTAAAACCAACTGGCAGCGCAAAAGGGCCACAGCTGGCCCTGAACTGTTTATTAATAGGGAAAAGGCCAGAACAGGGGGTGTGGAGAAGGGAGAGCGTTTAAAAACAAAACAGGCTGAAAATTAAATCCTGAGGTATAGCATAACAACCAACAGTGGCATCTTGAAATTTATCAGGAGGCCTTGAAGGCAAGAAGCTGAAAGAGGATATTAAAGTCATACTCATATTAGGCTACAGATTTTTTTTTCTTCTTATCTCTCTCTCACTTTTCTGCGATTATAGACTATAGTATCCAATCTGGTTTTTGTTTTTGATTTTTTTTTCTTGTTATTTTGCTGTTGCTGTTTTGCTTTTTATTTTTTGGGTTTTTTCGGGGGGGGGGGATTTCCCCTTTTGCCTTTAGGAGGCTCTTTCTATCCCTACATTACCCAAGAAGAGACAGCAATTGCTGCCATATAGTCAAGCTAAAATCACACCCTATAAACCCCATAATCCAGGCAAGAACCAATACCAATTGCCATACACCAGGGAGGCAGACAACACCTGTGAAAGTTACTCTGAGTCAAGCAATAAGAAGAGTGAAAAGGGAAGCCCACATCTACCTGGAGGCAATCAGAAAGCATAAAAAAATCCCAAAACACACACTCAATTAGGTATTAAGGCCACAGCTAGCCACTAAACATGTCCAAGAAGCAAAAACAGATGAGCATATCAGCACATGTCTAGAAACAAGATAAAATGTCTGAGAAAAATGACCTAGAGGTAGACCTGAACTCCGTTCTGGAAGGAGGGCAAGGCCTTGTAAATGCCTGAGAAATAATTCAGAAAAATGATTATAAAATGTTTCAAAACACTTTACAATGGAGTTGAAAAAAATAATGAAGTCAGGAAAGCGCTAGGTGGTTGTTGTTAGGTGCCATCGAGTCGGTACCAATCAATAGCGACCTTATGCACAACAAACTATATGGAAAGGAAAGAGACCCAGGGTAAGCAAAGCACTGCTTTGCAAGAAGGCAATGGGATTGAATTGAAGAAAAAAATTACCAGCCAAGAATCATATACTCAGAGCTGTCCCTCAATAAGACTGCAAAATTAGGATGTTTCTTGATAAATAGAAATAAAAGGAATTTGTAATGGCCAAACCAAGTTGTCAAAAAATGCTAAAGGGTGTTCTTTGGACTGAGAACCAAAAACAGCAGACAACAACCTGTGATTACCATACATGACACCATCACCCAGAACTCAATCCTGATATAGAATTATTTAAAGGTAACGAAACCTGTAAGACTG